CAAGTAATGCACCCTTAGTTTGACCTATAAAAGTCTTGTCTCTCAAAAACACTTCACATTGTGCTTTCATTTCTCAGCATCCACTGGAATATTTCCTTCCCATCTAGCTTCTTTTGCATATTGGGGTTTTCTCTGCTTTTCATAGTGTAACAAGAGCTCCTTGGAGAGTTGATTGCTTGACTAATGTAACAAGCCACTTCTTCAGGCTGTCAGAACTTAATTACTTTTCTGTGTCCTAAAGAACAGGCAATAATCACTTAAGTGAACTGTGAGCTGCAAGAATGTACAGCAGCATTAGATCATTTACAGAACCTTTTAAAAGGGAGGTGTTGTTTCTGGAAAGGATTTTTCCTCAAAACTGCACATTTGCCCCTGTTAGGAGATCAGTAGATGTGCTGGGCTTACTAACACGAAATGCCCATGGTCCCAGATAAGCTGGAATCACCAGTGTGACTAAGCCAAGAAGAAAGATGAAGCTATCAGAAATAACCAATGTTAGTAGCATTAGTATTTATATAGTAATAAATCACATGTCATCAAGTCGATTCTAACTTTTAGTGACCCTCTCCAGGGGTTTCTAGGCTTTGAGTACTCAGAAGAGGGTTACCATTCCCCTCTTCTGAGGGTACTCTGGGACTGTGCAGCTTGCCCACAGCTGCCTAGAGTGGTCTTAACCGACTAGATAGGCGGGATAGAAATAAAATAAATTTTAAAAAAATACAGGCTGGCCACTGTCCCGGGAGGCATAGTGGGGAATCAAACTCCTGACCTCTGGCTGTGCAGACAAGTGCCTAATTCACTGAGCTATCCAGCCAGCTAGCATTAGTTTTGCTAGTGCATATATACATGGCGCTTCTGCCCACCACAGCCGGAAAAATGTACAGTACAGTAAAGTGACAATATAAAAATAAAACAGTTTTGACTGCAATAGAGACCATTGGACGTCCTTTCAGAAGGGGGAAAAGTCCTGTGTTAGGAAAGGAAACAGTTCACGGAAACAGTGGGAGCGAGCCTCATGGCATAGTGGTTAAACTTCAGAACTGCAGTGAAAACTCTGCTCACAACCTGAGTTCAATCCTGAGCTCAGGTAGCTGGCTTGAGGTTAACTCAGCCTTCCTGTAAATTGCCCAAAGCAGCACACTTTGCTTTTTTCCAGGGAGTAACCATATTAAAGTGTAATCCTAACTAGCCAAGGTGGCTGAGAGCCAACTGAGTCAGCATTCAGTCCAGGAATGCTGAAAATTGCTTAGAACTACTCTTCTTGTGCTGGCACAGTGGCTGTCTACATGGGCTGGAGGAACTTTGGATCTGGCATAACGTAGTTCTCTCCCCACCCCAGCCCCTCGGTTTGCCTCTTCTCTGCTTTTCTGCTGGCAGATCTTTGTTAGCCTAGAAATTGTAGTGCCAAATTTTCCTGCTGACAGCTCTCTGAGCTCAGCCAGAACAAGAACAGTTGTGCCAGCAATAGGAGGTTTCAGCCCATTCCAAATCACACTACAGCTGATGCATTTTTTGACTTGGAAAGATTGCACCTTTGGCCTGTTACAGTGGTGCCCCGCAAGACGATGTTAATCTGTTCCATTGAAATCGCTGTTTAGTGAAAACATCGTCTTGCGAAAAGCGATTCCCCATTGGAATGCATTGAAATCCGTTTAATGCGTTCCAATGGGGAAAATAGTTGTTGTTTTGCGAAAATCGCCCATAGGGAAGCCATTTTGTGAAGCGCCGATCAGCTGTAAAAATCGCTGTCTTGCGAAGCATCAGTGCTGAAAACACCCGTTTTGCGAAGATTACCCATAGGGAAGCCATTTTGTGGAGCCGCCGATCAGGTGTAAAAATCATCGTCTTGCGAAGCATCGGTCCAAAAACAAAAACAAAAAAAAACACATCTTGCGAAGCACGGTCCGAAACATTGTCCAGCAAAAATCGCCCATAGGAAACTGTTTTGCGAAGCGCAATGGCGATCGCAAAACCTCATCGTCATGCGGATTCTTTTGCGGGGTACTCGTCTGGCGAGGTACCACTGTACTTCCAAAAGAGTCCTCAGTACCTTAAAAACTAACAAATGTTGCTGAGCACAGACTTTCATGGACTGCAGTAATCCATGTTAATCTTCATGGTGTCACCTGACTCTTCATTGTAATGGCAGCAAACAGGATGAAAACATGTCAAACGATGCATTATCAGAGTGTTTGGGGGCAAATATTTCTGTCATTCTGACAGTGCTATTCTTGGCTTGGAAAGTAAAGAGAATTACAACACCTAATTTCACTTCTGTATGTTAACCTTAGTAGCAGGAGTGGGCAATATCAACCCCAGAATGAAATCGGCACCTCACCTAGCGCTGCTGGGATTACCACTTCCCACATGCTACTCAAAAATTTTTGAAAAAAACATTTGCTCAAAAATGCCCTGTTCCATTTTTAATTTTTTTAAAAATTGACCACTAGAGGGCAGAAGGGCATTTAGGTTTTAAATCCCATTCTTTTTGAAATCCAGTTTTATTAACAAATACATTGCAGTGACTGGTGCATTTTTTTTTAAAAAAAAAGCAAAAATAATAGTAATAAAATAAATATACAAATCAGCATTTTACTCACATCTCCCTGAAGTGTAGCCTTCTAGCTACACTAAGATCTCCCAACTCTGCCTTATAATTGTATAACATCAAACAGGTTAGAGCAAGAGCACATGCACCTTTAGGAACCTGGTTGTTACTCCATTCCAAAACCAGGGGATATAGTTCCAGTAGAGAAGGCTAATCATGCATCTGGATTGGGGGGGAAACTGGTGAAAAAGACTTGGTGGGGTACACTGCTGAGCAACTGGGTAAGGGAAAAGTTGAGCATATTTCAGCTTCCTCTGCTTCTTGGCTGAAATCATGCTCCTTCAGGCCCAAATTGGGGAAGAGAAGCAACAGCTGGGCCTTGAATGTTAGCTCAATGGGTTAGGTATCTAGCTGCAGAACCAGAGGTTGGGAGTTGGATCTGCCATTGTGCCTCCTTGACAGGTGGTGGACTTAATGATTTGTTGTAACCTTTTCAGCTCTGCATTTCTAAGATAATGATAAGACAATGAATGCATGTAGTAGATTAGGAGGCGGGGGGACATCAGGTCACAGGACCAACTTCACCCATCTCAATTTGCACAGATGATCAGATCACTTTCATCATGATTCTGCCATGAAACAGTGGCTTCCTGTTTTTAGTGAGTTTTTTCCCCCATCCAAAAAAAAATTTGAAATGCATCTCTTGTAGTTTAGCTAGTAACCACAAGAGCTCTACATTAAAATACTGTATGCTGACACGTTCAATCCTATCCTTTTGCCTTTGTGACAACTGACCATGACTCCTGAGAATATCTCTGAAATCGACATTGACTGTTGGGTTGAAACAAGTTTTCTACCCATGCATCAGAAGCAGAAGATAATTTTCCCCCCTCTAATTTTCAGAGGATGCAAAAAGTACCCTTGCAATGCTTCCTGACTTTAAAGTAAGAGAGAAGATGCTACTGCGTGCTTTGCACCGCTATGGTATAAATCATGAGGGATGTACACGAGGATGGCTGAGCATTCCACACTCCATGCGTATTTTCTACGTTCATGCATATTGCAGTAAAATCTGGAATGAAGCTGTGTCCTATCGGGTTAAGATCTACGGTACAAGAGTTGTGGCTGGTGATCTAATCTTTTCTACAGAATGCACTGAAAGCTGTTTACTAAATGATAAGGTAAATAGAAGGGTGCAACAGTGTTGATGAAAAATGTAATCCAGATGCTTTGAGGCCCTGTTTAAGAGAAATTCTGCATCTCTTGTCTGGTCTGTAAAATAATAATAAAGTTATTGCAGATAATTCAGTTGCTTTTAATAAGTTGAATATTATACTTCTGGATTAGCAACGAAGAAAAACGTATAGAAGCTAGTTCTCCATCAGTGAGCAAACTCAAAAGCACGGAAAGTACAAAAATTGCAAAGTACCAAATATTAAGGCAGGAAATTAAAAGAATATGGAAGCAAGATCAGTTCTTCCTTCTCCCAGTATTAATTTCAGACACTGGAGTCATTCCAGAATCTTTAGTTAATAATCTGAAACAATGGCCAACAGCTTCTTGCAACTCAGATATCACTGATTTTGCAAACTTCACTCCTCACCCCCCCGCAATGGATTTTTAGGACATGGTTCATAATGTTTAAGCTTGACCATCTGGCCCACCCCCACAGGCATAACAACAACAACAACAACAACAACAACAACAATGCTTTACCTCTCAGAATTCCATAAATAAAAATAAATAAATAAAATATACCATCTTAAAGGTTATGTAATACTCTGCTCATTTGTATATCATTATATTTTTTTGGCTATCCTTGTTTGATAATCAAAGAACCCATGGTTTTTAGGAATTAAACAAAACATTTTAGTATGCCCCCCTCACCCCCAATTAATTCTTAGCCTCATAATCCAGTGGTTAAACATTTTGGCAATATTTCTTCAACCATCTCTTGCAATTTAGTTGGGCAAGATATAAGAGGAATTGTAAGAGCCTCGTGGTGCAGTGGTTAAACTGCTAAACTGCTCACGACCCTGGGTTCAGTCAAGGTTGACTCAGCCTTCTATCCTTCCGAGGACGGCAAAATGAGTATCCAGCTTGCTGGGAGGACAATGTGCAGCCTGCATAAGGAACTTGTAAACTGCCCAGAAAGTGCTTTAAGTGCTATGGGATGGTATATAAGCAGCACATTTTGCTTTTGCTTTGCTTATAGCAAGATCCAGGATGGGTGTGTAATATGGGCTAGTCCTGCCCTCATTATAAAATGAATGTGTGTGAAGTCATAGTTTTGAAACCTTCAGGATGTTCTATGTGGCAAGTCATGAGACCAAGATGAACAATTTTGCCAGGGTCGGGGCCAGTTTTCTGATCCAAAACCCGTGGGTGGGTGTGTTATAAGTAGCCCTCAAATGAGCAAAAATTATTGTAAAAAAATCATAACTGGATGCTGCTAGGAATCCACTTCTGATTTCATTTTTGTGAATTCAGGGTTTCGGATGCCCCAAACCTCCTTTTATTGCAAAGCCATCAGTCTCAGAACCTTCCCAAAATGCAAAGTGACATTATCTATTTTTCAGCTGGGAAATCTGGGGGCCATAAAAACAACACAGGGAAGCTACATTTTCCCCCACTACTAACATAGAAAGCAACAGAAAAATCTCCAGGCCCAACTGTTAAATCAAAATAAGATGTTTGTATACTTTAGCAAACAAGTATGCCTTCTGTATTCTGCACCAAAAAGGCTGGGCTTAGCCACTTGTTTGCTTATTTTTTACAAAGCCGATTTAATATTGTGATATGCATTTGATGCTAAGATTATAGCCTCGTTCAAATGATCCAGAAGATGTACATGAACCCACAATCAGGAAGTTGTATACAAACTTGAAGCCCAGCAGAACAATATTGTGGGCATATATAGCTTTACATGCATAGACCTCCCTTTCTCAGATGCCTTCGTTCTATACGCAGATGCCAGGCATAGAGAGATATTCTGTGCTGGCCATTGGTTATGTGGCCTAGTTCCATTTCCTGATTCATTTAAGTTTTTTTTTTTAAGAATACCCAAATTGAAACTGTGATTGGGAAGGAAGATGTGTATGTTAGAAATTCATTTGTTGTGTTTTTATTGCCACTTTCGACAAGGAACCCAGGGCGGTATATTTGATTCTCTGTATTTCACTTTATCATCATAACAACCCTGTGAGGTAGATAAAGCCGAGGGGTGGTGATTGGTCCAATGCTGTTCAGTCAGCTACGTGGTTTGGTGGAAAACTGAATTTTTTGTTCCAATCAACATTCCCTCTAAGCCTTGCTGCATTGGGGCTGCGCAGCTGCAGCCAGTGTCACCACCCATTTGGTTCCAGTGGTGGCCAGAATCCTGTGCGCGTGGGGTGGGGGCTCCACCCTGCACTGGTAGGAAATTAGAAGGAACATTGGTTCCTGTATATGCACCCCAGATGGGGTGGGGGCTCCACCCTGCACTGGCAGAAAATTAGAGGGAACATTGGTTCCTGTATATGCACCCCAGATGAAATAAACCATTGATCTTTATTTTCTCCAATTTTTATTACACTGAAGTGTTAAAATAAAACTTAGAATCCTAATCCAGCATGAAGTCCCTGTGCTTGTCAATCATAAAGTTAGTTCAGCATGGCTGACATTAATTTCACATTCTTTACCATTTAAAGTGATGTGTTCTGAGATTAAAATTCAGATAAGCAGGGAACCAAGTCAAATTGTTGTTTCCAATTTTGCCCTGGTTGAAGCCAACTTCTTGCTTGGAAATGCTTTCATTAAAGGAATAACAAGGGTGCAGTTCTGTATCCATTTACCCAAGCGCAAGACTTCCTGAATCAGCGGAGCTTAATTCTGAATCAGTAATACATAGGACTGCATTTTAGGTCCTTTAATCAGTAGATATAGTAGTTAGCTCACACTCTATACTTCGTTGCTGTATTTGGTGGTGTTGTTTTAACCATTCACTTCTATTCTGTACATGTTGTCTTGTTTGGTTTGATCTATTTTCATTGTGTTTTTAAAATCTTAATAGCACTAGCTACTTTGAGGATTTTCTGAAGGATGGGGTAGGAATCTCTACAATAAATACATGGAAATGCATAATTCTTTTCATTTCTATGCCAGGTACATGTGGTAACGTCTGCAGAAGAAATAGCCAATAGATATGCAATAAACCAAGTAAGTATGTTTGGGGAAAAAACAACTTGTATTATTTTCACTAAGAAAGAAATCATAAATCTATAGGACGGGTTTTAGTTTAAGTGATGTAATTCTATTCGTAGGCGGCATTATTTCTTATTTACTTATTGCAAATATTTGATAAGATCTTTTTGACCGACCAGTGTTCCCGAAGTGATGTAGAATAAAAATAGATCAAAAAGTAAATTCAAACAATTTTAAAAGCAGATTTCAAAAACCAGTTTTAAAAGCCAGAGGCCATACAGGCTTTCAGTGGAAGCTCAGCAAGAGTGGTTTCCCTCAGGAGATTGCTCTGTAGTCAAGGTGGTACTACAGAGACGTCTCTATCTTGTGTATTTGTTAACCTCTCAACATGGTGGGGCAAAAACATACAATTATCAAATTCTGGGCAGGCTGGTAGCTTCATGTGGCCTATTTTTCTCCAGGAAAGTCAACTTCATGCTATCTTTTTCGTTCCAAAGGTTGTTCTCCCAATGGCTGGTTACAGTGTCCATTATCCCACCAATAAAGTTGGAGAGTGGTATCAGGAAAGGCTGGCCAGAGACCAGCTTCAGATGTCCCAGTTCCGACTTCCGGCTTTACAGTTGAACGTGCCTGGCTGCTATCGGCATATTCTCAAGTACCCTCACGACATGTCCTACCATTTCTTAAATGGCAATGGAGAAAAAGTAGGAACTGGAGATGGCCCCTTACAGGATTCAGAAACATCTCTGTGTATGTCCTTTCGGCTTGATCCGTCATGTTATGCAACTATTTGTTTGCGAGAAATTATGAAGTGTGATCTTTAAAAAGAGGTTTAACTCCACTTTACAGGAATATGGGACACTAACTAAAGAGGCACAGTTCTACAGGAAAAAGGTGCTGAAAGGAATGGTTTGAAATTTATTTGATTAATGTAACTGCTACTTGCTTTTGGATAAGGAGAAGTAGAGGTTAGTAGGCTTAAGAGAGACTAAGGGTACATGCAGCTCTGCCAGTCCAAGTAGATAGTTGCAACATTATGGTTGTTTCCTTCTTATCAGACATTTTCCTGGTAAAGGCACAGGATGTTGGGAGACCCAGAAGGGTTGCAAATACTAGACAAAACCTTGACACACATATATATACATAAAATTCTATGTTTGAGACAGGGTGCTTGTAAAACAAAGGCCTCATCTGGAAGCATTCTCATTTGCAAATCTCTGCACATTTGCCTGGGACATCATCCATTAAATTTATTGGTCCCTGTGAGTAAATGTGAATCAAATAGCACTGTAAACAAGTGGCCGCCTCAAACCACTGTGGAACTGCAATGCTATAACTGCTGACTTCGGTATCTGTACACTACAAAGCAGCCAGCAACACAACCAGGAGATGTCAAGAAAAATGTCCACTAAAAAGAAATCAACTCCAGCCGCCAATGAAAAATGCTTCCTGTGAAATCTACACTTTTTGCAAGACACCACCAAAGCAGTAGAGTTAACGCCAGATGTATTTCAAGAGGCAAAGTATTTCACAAAGTGCCTGCTGTGAACAGAGCTGGGGAAGATGGTTCTTCTGGAATACAGCTACTGTGTGTGGATACTAGGATGTGTAGTCCAAGAGAGTAGCCTTTCCTAGCTCCAGTCACAGAAAAGGCAGAACTCCCCACCGTTACAAGTTTGGCTTTTGTCAGACACAGTAGATGATAAAGCAGTTCCCTAGTTGATCAGAGGGAGAACAACAGGAAGGTTGGCTGCATGTGTTGCGTTTTGTCTACAGGTGGTGCTGTGACTTTGCAGGAGTTATAAACAGAAGGCAACAGGGATATAATGGTTTATGCTGTTTGGTATGAATATATATTAGGTCTGTCCCTGAGATGATAGTTCTTAAAGGATATAGGTTTCCTGGACTGCCCAAAGTGAGCTCTTGGAAAACCCTTTCCTTTCTATCAAGTACGTCAGAGTGTTGTGTGTTGTCTTAGAGATTGTCTGTACAGATAATGAATGGAGGTGGGGGGGGAATACTGTTAGAAAGAGCATCTTTTTCTGAATCTTAACAGCTTCAAAAATGAAGGTTTCTGATGTTTCAAATGAGAAAGACAGAGAAGTTGTCGATTTCTCCTTGGAAGATGATGGCCTTGATGAATATTGTAGTTAAAGTACTGCCTTAACGTGTATGTTAAAAGAGCTTGTGAATATACCATCCGATTGATGGTATATTCTGTATATACTGTAAGTTTAAGCGAGCAATATCTTCATCCTTGTTGTTGTTGTTTTAAGTCATTGAAAAGGGAAACTTTGGAGCAAGATCAAAGGGCGCAATCAAACGAATGGCTTTACAACATTTGCTATTTCTTTCTCTGGAAACAACAGTGTTTGTAAGCAAAAATGCTGTATCACATTAAGTCTTGGAAAATAAATTGAGCTGATTTTATGTATACTTCTCGGCCATTTAAACTTCAGCAAGAAGGCTTTTATTATCTGTTTTATTACATCTCACTTGCACAACCATAATTCCACCCCAAACTTGTCATTTTCATCTATGTATTTAACTGTTTAATTTCAGCTCAGGAAATGCGATCAAAAACAGATAACATCTCCAACCTTTAGGGGTGGGTAATTGATACATTTCAAATTTTAAGGAGGTGGTGTTGGGGTCATCATAAAATGGCTACACTTGGGAATAACGGCCATTCTCAAAATGGCTGTCATGGTCCATGATCCAATTGGGTGCTTACGTCAACAATGATTTTTTTTCTTACAAAGTTCTTGCAAAAGATCATCCTTTCCATACCCCTTTCAGCCTTCTGTGCCACCCAGTACTCTGCTCTAGAAGTTTTACCCAACTCTCCAGGGCAAATAGCGAGGACACATGGGGCTATGTAGTAAGTGCAGTTATCTCTTCTTGGATTCCCCTTCTGTCAGTGCAAGTACCCAACTGGATCTTGGCCATGGTGCTTTTACAGTTTCATTGTTATACAACAATTCAATCTGGGCAAAACCTAAATCTTGCCATAATGAAATTACAGTTTACCTAGCTAACTATTACAAAGTGGCCCTTACAAAACTACAATGCTGTAGGAAGATATTGGTGATGTTCATAGTAATAAATCACTCACCCTTGTTTAGCATTACAGTATATCTCTTTGATAGATACAGATTGTTGGGATTTCTTTTAACAGTATAACAATGTGCAAGGACAACTATCTGCTTAAGCTTTTGGCCTGATCTATGTGGGGCTAGCTGGGAAACAGTCCTTTACTTTTGGTTTGATCCTCTGCCCAGTGTTGACCTGGGTTGAGGTGCCAATCTTGTGGATTTAGCCTGGTTCCCAATTGCTGGTGGGTCTTGGCCTGTCTGAGTTCACTAGCTGTGCTATGTGCCATATTATCATTATGCTAAATCTGCTGTTGCTGTTGCTTCTCCTTCCCTTGCTGACACTCTCCAAAGCCCCATTGATGAAGCAGCTTACCTCGTCTTGTAATTGTTCTGGTCCTTAACAGAGCTGGGTGCATGTGTGTGTGCAAGCATATTGTATGTGTACATAAATCTCTCACCATCCTTCTAAGACAGTGGTTCCCTGCCTTAGGTACCCAGATATTCTTGGAATAAAAACTCCCAGAAGCCTTCACCACTAGCTGTGCTAGCCAGGATTTCTGGGAGTTGAAGTCAAAGAACATCTGGGAATCCAAGGTTGGGAACTACTGTTCTAGGATAGTTTAGTGTGATTTACTTATCCATCCATGACCACATGAGCTGTGGATTTTTTGGAGCTGTCCTCCAGAAAAGGTAACTTTTTCAATTCTGGAAGAGGCATGGGTGGGTTGTGCTTTTTTTTTTCTTGGATGGTCTAAGTTAATCTTTGCACATTGCAATCTGTTTAAGATTAAATGCCGGACTAACTTGAATTTTTTTGTACACCTTTAGGCTGAACCTACTTGTAACTCAACCAGATTTCTCAGCCCTGGACCATCATTGCTTTCATATTTTGTGACTAGATAATCCTTTGGTGTGGATGTAACCTCTGTATTTTGGCAACATGGAGCTTTCAGAATTCCTTTATTCAAGCGCATGTTGACAGATTTTCTTTACCTTAGTTATTCCCAGTTGCCTGTTTTTCTGACTGCAACATATGGTATGCATCACTGTTTTTCAGACGCTGAGAATACATATAATTTACAGCTAGATCTCAAATTTACAGAGCTATATTGCCCTCAGCTGGCATCAAATGAACCATTACAGATAACAAAACAAAATTTATGCAGTTGTGCAGCTATTTCCCATCCTTTTGAGGAAATAATGCTTTAATTAAAAAATAAGTGATGGGACAATGTTTAGAAAATGCTACGATAGGTTAGCTACTGAAAGACAATTTCTTGGGCTGTTGCCATAATCTGAAAACAGACACATGTTATATCCATTCAAATATCGAGTAAAATTGTCTCATGATAGCATTTTAATAGTATTATTTGACCAATGCCTAGAGATTTCTATCTAGCAAGTTAATATATTTCTCGAGCAATAGAGAACTAATGTGTCATGCCTTGTCTCCTTTCTGGCAGATTTTTTTTAATTTTTTAAAAAATTAAGAAACAGCACATAGTTCTTGCCCCCTGGCCTCTTTCCAAAGTTCTTTTTGCTGCAGAAACCATTAATAACTTGTGACTTCAAGTTCATAGGTCATATCTGAGAAATTCAGAGTAACATAGGAAAACTTAATTTGGAATGACATATGGTCCAACCCTCCACTTCAAAAATGGCAGGAGGAATTTACATCTAAGTACTTCTCCATTGTAGTTTTTAAAAAATATTTCCATTGACAATATTATTAAGCCTAGATTCGGTGATAAATCACAATTCCTCCCGCAGTTACTACCATAACACAAACTTCTTCAATGTTTGTTTATTTTAAACTTTTTCATTTTGGTATGCAAGGGAAAAGTGCTTCCAAAGTGACTTTAAAAAAATAAATAAATGCGTAAGATAGCCCCAGCCCTCAGGTTTACAGCCTGAAAGATACAACACAACAGGAAGAAATATTGGGAGGTGTAAATACAGAGGAAGGTGATCTACAAGTAGAATTCGGGTATATCATCATCATCTGAGAATTCTAGAATTGGAAGGGATCCTATGGATCATTGAGTCCAGCCCCTGTTAAGGAAGCACAGATGGGAACTGTACTCCCAACCTCTAGCTCCACAGCCAGATACCTAAACCACTGAACTACATCACTGTACCTTCAAATAAGCACAGTCAAATAGGTTGTAGCCCTTGGACACATCTTGTCCACCATTAATTTTTATGGCCCTCTGCCACCTACAGATAGGAAACATTTGGTTTGCACTTTCATGTGAACTTCCCTAACCTATATGCCAACCCAAGCATTGTTTTTGTGTATTCAGTTCATATCCACCCTCCCCCACAAGCTTAATGGACATTTCTAATTTTTTTCTATTGTGGTTTCCCTAAAATATACACAAAATGTTTTATGTCCAGGAAAGGTTCACCCAAGGATATATGTTAGTGATGATGTAATACAGAAGTTAAATGATGCATGTGTTGAGAAAGTGAAATTCAAATATTGTAGAGGAATGAGAATGCACATGCTAATATCATGTAATGCCCCCCCCATCACAAGCTGATGCAGAAATAGGAGGGAAAGGATTTAGGGTTGACTAGAAAAATAGAAACTGAGTGAAACCAAAATTGACAGATTCATCCATTCCTAACAGTCCATGCTATGTGAAGTTCTGCTTCTCACCTGTTGCTTCCCCTCCCAGCCAGGTGGCTTCAGATTTCCAGCTCAGAGGGATGTCTGCCAGATGACAGACAATATCTTGAATGCTGTTCTTGACCTCTCCAGCACTATGTCTCAATCTTTTCCCTTTCTACCTTACTTGGCTGGAAGATGCTCCCTCACTACAATGGAGGAGCTTGCTTCAGAAAGCATGAGTCATTTCAGGATAATTGCACTGCAGTAGTTAAATGACAGAACTCAATTGTCTTCATATGCAATTCACAGTACACTGTTGGTCTGGTGAGATTTTTAAAAAACAACAATCGTCGAATCACACATTTACTTGACTTCTTCAGCTTTTTATGTGCATGGGAATTACCAGGAGATCAGTTAAGTGAAGGGGTCCTTGTGATGAAATACTGTACATTTCCTGAGTTGTGTAAGATTTTGTCAATCACCTGCTCAGAAATGCTTTCCCACATATTATGAGATTCCCTTTATTATTTAAGACAACTTTTACAGCAGTGGAAAAAGAATCAGCTTGAGGAAGATCCTAAAACTATTTGAAGTTTTAGTTTTATCTCTTATCAAGAGACACACATCTGTATAACATGGTTTATATTAATGAAGCTTGTACCATTTGAGATACAGTGGTGCCTTGCTTAATAGGTGCCCAGTTTAACAACGAATCCGCATAGCGATTAAGTTTTTGCAGTCGCAAAAGCGATCGCATTGCGACAATTTAGACAGGAAAAAATCGCTTTGCAATGATCTGTAAGCTGTTTCACTTACCGATTTTCGCATAGCGATGTTTTTCTAACAGCTGATTGGCAGTTCCAAAATGGCCGCCAGGTTAAAAAAATGGCCACCCGCTATGTTTTCGCGCCAATTCCTCGCTTACCGGGCAGTGAAAATGGCGGCCGTATGGAGGATTTTTGCATAACGGTGAGTTTTTTGCCCATAGGAACGCATTAAACGGGTTTTAATGCATTCCTATGGGCTTTTTTTATTTCGCATAGTGACAAATCCGTATAGCGACGATTTTGGCTGCACGGATTATCGTCGCAATACAGGGCACCACTGTATTAGTTTGAGTTGGATGAAGACCCCTTAAACTGCATCATGTATTTACTGCCATATATGAGGAAATGTTTTACTCAAAATCACATACATTTCAACTATTTGCTTTTAGGATTATATTGATTATATAGGATTATATTTCTTAGACTCTAAGCACTTTGAGGTTGTTTAATAATTTTTATTTATTTCTTTATTTATTTGATTTATATCCCGCCCATCTAGTATATTCTACTACTCTGGGCGGCTACCAACAAACATATATACATTAAAATAACATAAATCCATTGACATAATCAATAACAAGAACATTTCAAAAATATAATAAATGATAGATAGCAAAAAGAAAGGAAGTTAAGTGCTGGCAGGAGGGAAGGCCTGGGTGTAAAGCCATGTTTTTAGTTGAATTTTAAAAGTACCCAGCATAGGGGCCGCATGAATCTCAGGAGGGAGATTGTTCCAAAGGCGAGGAGCCACCGCTGAGAAGGCCCGGTTTCGTGTCTTTTCCCTCCGGGCCTCCCTCGGCGTCAGGCTCCTCAGCCTCACCTCCTGGCTTGCGTCGGTGATCCGGGTAGATCTTGGTGGGAGCAGGCGTTCTGTCAGGTATCGAGGTCCCAAACCGTTTAGGGCCTTATAGGTAAGCATTAA